ACACCAAAGTGGCCCATCTTGGGGCAGTCTAGTCTTGGCCAGGTCCCTCCCTCCTCTGAAACTCCCCAAAGTTACACATGTCCAAAGTGGGGCTAGACGATCGTTCAGTTTGGTTGACAGTCTCCTGAGTAGAGGCCAGTTTAGTTAAACTTATTTCAGGAGGGGGTGATGCAGGTGTGTTCTCAAAGTAAGGCCTGTGGTTCTAGAAATCAGGTATTAAACAAGAGACATTTCTATGGAAACAAACAAAATGATGGTTAATGATATTATCAAAGTATAAAGCAGTTCCCGAGTTCTGAGGGTAGCAGGGGAGAAGACTTCTAGATGTCAAGCTCAAATATCCCCAGAGAGAGTGACAGCAAGCTGTGACAATCTGACAAGTTTTCCTGGTTTGTAGTTCAAATGTGTCTGGTGATCCCTGAGTGGGCCACAGAGCAACAGGGACAAAGACCGTCTCTATGTGAGCTACTCTGGAGTTTTTCTGAAGTTTACATCATGTTGTTTGTATTTAGTTTTCAGGACTTCAGGGGAAATGCAGTTTGAGTCCAACTGAGAAAGGTGAGAGAAAAATTGTAATGTTAGTTTTGAGACTTGTAGCCAGACATTGTAGGAAGCTACAGAATATCAGGATCTAGTCCATGTTTTAATCAACAGGATTGGAATCCAATATTTACTCTGGTGTGTTACTGAAACCTTTTTTCTCTACAATCACTCTCATTTCTTCTAAGTATAGCCAAATTAACATTAATTTCCTCACCAAGTAATTGTAGTTTCAAAAAGAACTTCGTCTGATTATTTACATAAGTGCAGCAAGAATGACAAACGACCGTTTAGGCTCTTTAAAACCTGTTTTGCTGGAACTTCCATAAGAAACCTCTAGATTGAACATTTAACAGCCAGTCCAGGCTAGAAGCCAAGACAAAAGGTGTGCTAGATACTTGTCATCAGACTTAAGCTGGGGAATTCTGTGTTTTTCAGGGACCGAAATATCCCACGGTTCCTGCACCTGCTAAGACATGACCCTCTTGAGTCACCTGGTAAACATGCTGGAGCCTCTGTAAGCAGGTGGCCGACTGATACTTCCACGCGGCTGTATTGTCTCCATAAAGTCAATGTTAGTTCCTTAGAGCTGCCTGGTCATATCTGAGTATGTACAGATACATATCTTTTTCAAATACGACCTTGTAGTCAGAGACTTAGTAATCTAACCAATGTTTCCAATTATATCTTGTTACAAGGAAAACAGAATCTTATGAAACTTATGTTAATAAATATATAGCCATCAATGTATAAGAATGCTCCCTGATGGTTTCTGAGTTTTGAAGGAATCAGGTATGGAGAAAAAATAGTTTCATCTGTTCACCAAGGTATATTTGATTAAGTTCTTATAGATCAGTTAGCTTGCGAGAAGTTTCCTTAAATCTGAAGGAACAAAACATTTAAAAGGTCAACAATGTTTCAAACAAAAAGTCATAAAAATTATAATCATTTTCCTCTGGACATTCAGTTTCATGTTATTTATTTTTTCTTCTGTTTGAATCCAGTTCTTCTATTCTAGCAATTTTTACTTTAGTTTTATTCTCCTAAAGGTATCAGAAACCTATATATTTTCACAGTTCTGCCCATGAACATCCTTGAAATGTAACACATTTGCAGTAGCATCGGAATAAGATGGGAACTGTACGTGACAAGACATGACAGTGGCCATGGCTACGGATGGCTTAGAGGTCATTATGATGCAATTGACAAGGAAATGTGTAATGCCCGTGACACGGAACACATACATCTATCAAACACAAGTACGGATAGTTACAGAGTTGTAAGCAAAATGTAGGATTTTTAAAATAAAAAAATATATATTTTTCAATGCATCAAAGTCCTGATAAACAGGAAATATTTTGGTAAAACAGAGTGCACATTTTCCAAGAAGATAATTTTAAAGTTGAATAAATACTTTTGTTTACCTTTTTTTTTGTAAAAGTGGACCAATAATTCAAGAAAAATTTGACTTTTTAACCAAGTTAAAACAGAATTCTAATTTTGCATCCACTTAGTTTGATATTAAAGCTCACTTACCTACCTAAATTTATCTTAATTTTAAGGAGTATTGACCACACATACAATTCCTGTCTAGGTTCCTTTCCCAAAAACTACTACAACTTTCTCCCAATGTCTCTAGACCCCAGCAGCACCCTCTCTGTGTCTCTCCCTCTTGCAGGGTCCTGGGCCCAGTCTGTGCTGACTCAGCCGCCCTCTATGTCTGGGGCCCTGGGCCAGAAGGTCACCATCTCCTGCACTCGAAGCAGCCCCAACATAGGTTGATATTACGTGGGCTGGCATCAACAACTCCCAGGGTCCGCCCCCAGAGCCATCATCTATGCTAATAGCAACCGACCCTCAGGCATCATAGATTGATTCTCTCCTTCTGTGTCTGGCAACTCAGGCTCCCTGACCATCGCTGGGCTTCAGGCTGAGGACAAGCCTGATTACTCCTGCCTGCCCTATGACAGCGGACTCCATGCTCACACCGTATTCCCTCCCGGGCTGTGGGGAAGAAACACAGACATGCTGTACCCACAGCAACGGGGCTCCCCGTGCAGCCCTATTTCCTGGCCATGCAAACTGCTTGCTTGCTTTCTTTGGTACAACCTGGGGCCTGAGATCCATCTGAGGGAATTTGTCCACGAATTCATTTCACATTCTTTAAAATTTGTCTCTGAACCCTGTCCTTGACATCCACAGATTCTGTCATTTTCTCAAAATGAGCAAAAATTTCTGGGTACCAGTCCATCATGAGTTGGGGAAGAACCGGCAAAACACAGTCTAGCGGCATGCGAGTCCCGACTCGTCAGGAGTGTCCTATATGTGTCCTGTACCAACAGCTCCCATGTATGGGGTCCCAAATCCGCCGCTATTATGATTTGAGTCTCTCTGGGGACCCTGATCCTTTCTTTGCTTCCATGTCTTACAGCTCTGGCTCCCTGACCATCACTGGGCTGAGGTCTGAGGACGTTCTGCTCCTTACTGCCCCTCCTGGGACAGCATCTCAGGCTGACACAGACTCCAGGCCTGTGGAAATTGGGACCAGAGCCCCTTTCTCATCGGCCAGGAGGGGGAGGCCCAGCGGCTGCTCAGGCTCTTCCTGTGGCTTCTGCTTCTGGTGCTCCTGCTGCGGCCATCACGGGGCCATGTCCATGCAAGGGCATCTCCTGGGGGTGAGGGCTCCTCCTTGCCTCCTGTCCCCACCTTCACTCACAGCAGCCTCTCATTAGACACAGGGTCTCCCAAGGACACAGAAAGGTCATCTCCCCCACAGGGTCTCTACACTGAGGTTCATGGACTGGCGGTGGCAGGTCCACGGTGCTCATCTCCTCCCTGAACTCTGAGGAATCAGAGGTCTGCATTCTTGATCATTTATCTATTTCTGCAAGTTTCCAGACCCATGTAATCCTGTTAGTCTTTCATAGGAATGTCTGTTCTGTGTGCTCATTGGGTTGATTTCTTCTGTCCCTGCTGCATAAACAGGGGAGTATTGAGGAATCCTATATTTGGGTCTTTTAGGATGACTCCCTTTTTATTCCCATCAATGCTGAGACCTAACCACTGATTTTTCTTGTTTACTTTCATTGTCTATTCCTTGTAGAAAGACATTGAATAATAATGGAGATAAGGCCACTTATGCCTGTTTCTGAACTTGTAGAAATGTCCTTCCCCCTCACCACAGTAGCTAACTTCACGTCTGGGTGACTGAGTTCTAGGTGTGAAGGAGAGAGTCTGTTACCATGGGCCAAATGTGTCTGTCTCTTTCTATTTTATGTAGTTTTTGTTAGAACTTCACTTTCCATTTGTTCAAAGAGTCTTTCACGACCTAGTGAGAGAATGTGATTTTCATCTACTGCTTTATTTTTTTTTATTTTTTTAATTGTTATGTTAATCACCATACATTACATCATTAGTTCCTGATGTAGTGTTCCATGATTCATTGTTTGTGCATAACACCCAGTGCTCCACGCAGAACGTGCCCTCTTTAATACCCATCAC